GTCCTAAAATCAATTTAAGTATATTTACTAAAAAAAAATTTGGAATAAGTAAACCACTAGGTAACTGGTGTTGTTTGGCCATTGGAATAGACAAAGCGACTGCGTAACCGACCACCTTCTTATACTATTTTATCCTATCTGTCTTAATTCTAGATTGTTCTTCTCAATTGCCGAAACTTCAGGGTGTATTTAAAATTACTGGGTTACCCTTTGAGATTTTTTCATAACGCATGTGATAAGAGAAATTTTTTTCATGTTGTAAACACATTTTACATGGAGCTCATATTTATTAAAAAAAATAAAAAAATATTACACGCAAATCAAAAGGTCAATAATAAAAAAAAACAACTCTCTTATAACATGAGACAATATTTTCCGTTAAACTATTTCACAAATCCAAGAATCTTAGTCAAGACTCAAGATGGTTTTGCTATTAGATTGTGACAAACATGAATTGATATGGACTTATTCTAATTTAAAAATTGGCCTCGAGTTTTATTTTTAAATACGTAATTATGTTAATAAATTATTTAATTATCAACAAAAAAATTGAACTATAGCCCCGTCTCCATCGAGGTGAAACTTAACGAAGCCAAAGGGAAAGAGAAAGAAGAGGGAAGAAAAGGGATCTTCTTTCCTTTCCGGCATATGCTTTAAGACCAACAAAGCCAAGGTAGATTCACGGGCTTCTTTCATTTCATCATGTTTATCTCTCTCTCTTTATATCTTTGGGGAGATAATTTCTTAAAAACTTTAAAAAAATAAAAATGTTTTTATGTAAGTAATTAATATGATTTAATGAAGCATAATATATATTATTTTTAGTACGTTTTTGGAGAACATGTATTAACAAAACAACTTAATTATTTATTAACCGTTTCTATTAATTAATTTTAGAAAGTATGAATAATTATAAGTTGGGTTGGTTCTAGCTTAAGATACAAATTAAAACCGATAAATGTTAATTGGATCGGATTGAATCCATTTTTATTTAAAAAATAAAAATCTGTTAACCTAATCACGAGAAGAGGAAGAGAAGATTGTGTGATAAATGTAGATAGCTGCAGGTTGGAGTTGATCAAAATCAAAGGGTTAGAGTTTTACTCAATGCATATGAGAGCCAAATGTAGATACCCACCTTTATGTAACTTGTTCTTTATTAAAGTTTTTTTTTTTTTTTTTTTTCCACGCTCACCCAATGCTATGTATATTGCACTATTAATAGGCCAGAGTTGGTCGAACTCTTTCATGCCACTATCAGATACTTGCATAAACACATGGCCACGAATTTACGCGTCCTCGCCGTAGGAATAGATCCCCTACAGCAATCAATTATTAAAATAGACCATGTTGATTCAGATTTTGAGTACCTTCAAAGTCTTGTCTAGGCGCATAAAATTAGTCACTGAGCTAATATTTGGTTTCCTTTTATATAACAATTGAAACCAAATTACATTACCAGCTAAAGGAAAATAAAAATTAGGCACTTTTCCCAAAATCAATGTTGGAGTAAAAGAAATTCAATTCCATAAACTTTTGTTATTTAAGTATGAGCTATATTATGATTATATATTTATTCATGGCATAGAGTGTAAAATATCAAGTACAATGACCAGTGAAATTTCCTGGCAATACGCACTAATTTTGGAGGGACAAAGGTTAGTGCTCCTCTTACCATTCCAGCAAGTCAATTTGAAAACTAATAATAATAAGATACATGTACCAAAAAAATAAAAAATAATAATAATAAGATAAGATAAACTCATTTCACAAGTTAGTGTCAATCTTACGTTCTTTTTTCCCTTAAAAGTAGTAAAATATTATTTCACAATAAAATAAGCATAAACAAGTTCATTTGATATTCATAAATAATAATTTTTACTTATTCGATTTTAAATCATTTTAGTAAATTAACGTGTGTCTTATTCGATTAATTATGTTTTCTTCGTTGAAAGTACTATTATCAACACAACTACACGGATCTGGATCTTTTAATGTGAAAAATCACATTATCATGTCATGTGGAAAATCATAATCATATAAAAATAAATCAATGATAATAAAAGAAGAGAGAGAAAATATATTAAAATAAATAATTACAAAAATATAACCATTAATTTACTTTTATATATGATTATAATCTTCTCACGATACTGATGACATGTCATGTTTTTTTTCGTATTAAATATTCATTTCCCAACTACACAAGCACAGCTGCATAATCAGCGCATAAGAGTTAGAATCCAAGGCAGGCCAAGACAAATCACTTTAGAGAGCCAATCAAAATCCACCACGTAACCCCATAGGCCAATTAAGGCGCAACGTTCAATGGGCATGGCCTTTTTACCATCACCATGTATCAGATGGAGTCCATGGCATCATCATCATCATCACAAGGGGACCCACGTGTGAGTGGAGGTTGAAATGAACGCTCGAAAGTCGAAACAACTAAGCATGGTCACACGGTGAGAATTTGATCTCTGTATATCTGAAGCTGCACTCTAATTGGACCACGCACCACTGAGTCGACACGCTTGACTCGGCTCCGAGTCAAGAAAATAAAATATCTCGTGGGTGCGCGCTTCTACCACCAGATATTTCTTAGCTGACCGGAATGCTGCCCGGTTGCTCTCAACCAGCCAATTGTGTGCCACGTGGGTGGCTCGGTAAGATCTCGAGCACGGGCAGGGGTTAGTGTGGCCCACCCATCTCGTTAAGAAGCGGGTTGAAATACCCGTTATTAGATCCGCTACGGTTTTGGAGTTAGGTTATGGCCACGCTGTACTGCCACAAAACTGAAATTGGAAACTAACTAAATATATTCCATTTCATTTTTATTAAATAATAATAAAAAAAATTCCTGGCTGCCACTTTAATTTGTGCATTTCGGAGCATGTTCCATGTGTTTCAGTTTCGAGTGCATACATATACCAGAATTTTATGCTTTTCATTCAAGCATGTTCCATTATGGTTTTTAGTTTCAAGTCCAGTACTAAATGTTAGCACATTTAATTTCCTTTTAAGGTTCATGTTTGTTCCAATTTGGTACTATCAGCTTCAATGATAAGGATATTGCCATATCAATGCCCGTTTCATAGTTTGGCCGGTTTCATTAAGTTTAATTCTTTCCACCTTGAACTCCCATGAGAACCAAACTTGAATATGTAAACATTAATTATGTATGTTTATTAAGAAAACCGCCAATTCCCCTAGTTTGTGTTGCCTGGGTTTGACTTGATTAATACATAACTAATATATTAAAAGCTGCTTTAATTAATCAATTACTAGTATATTAAAAGCTGCTTTAGAGAAAGAAGAATCACTCCCGTCAAGTAGCCCTAGTGGCGGTATCTTTCATTTTAGTGCTAAACGACGCGTCTAATTTTAAAAACTATAAATAAGCACTAGCCATTACTAAATGAAAAACTCTGCACTTAGAACAAAGTTTATTGAATGGTTTCATCTCATGAATATCAATCAGTTTAATATTTTATTTTATTTTTTGACAAAGAAAAGCAAGAGAACCCAATAAGTTTAAGTCAACCAAAAGCAAGAAACAACAACCTATTAGCCTTTGCCAAATTTGGCAACTAGACAAAGTTATGTCTACCACGTACCAAAAGTTATACCAATGCCCACTCCAAGAGGATTAGTATGGAAATAAATAGCATGTTAACAGTGGTTCCCAAACAAGGTGGTAAATGTTAGTTGACTTTTTAAGGTGCTATGACTTCCTCAATAACATTTTCAAGTGGACCAAACACGTTTCGGAAAACACAACTCTAAGTCAAAACAATTACTTTGCCACATATGGTGAACACCCTGTAATGGTCTTTGAAATGAAATATTCATGTAAGTAACTTATGCAATGTTGTTTATATTCTGATTCGAGAATAAAAATTTTAAACGTTCAATTTTGATTTAATCAATACAACTAGTTGACCAAATTGATTTCACTAATTGGTCAAACCAAATGATATTATATAAATAATTTACATAGCAGCACAATTAACTTCTCAACCAAATTTTAATGAAATTTGACCTGTATAGCAGCGTCAATTCAATCATAACAACAAACAATAACCAGTCAAATATTCGATTCCCGTTTAAAAAGAGCTAAAATAGTTTTTAAAAGAAAAATTATAAAAACTTTTGGTAAAAGTGACAAAATTGATAAAAATAAAAAAAGCCATTAGTTTCATTTCCTAAAGAGAAAAAGAAGTAATAAAAATAAGGTCCTGTGTAAAACGAATCCACTATGAAGAGCAAAACTAGCCTCGAATAAATTGATAATCAAATTACGAATGGAATAATAGGATGATGATCACCACAAAAATCCAAGGGCTTAAAAGCTCTAATAAGTAGGAACATGTACATATTGACCTCACATTATTAGTACCTCCCAGACACCTTTGGACCAAAATATCTAAGACAGTTGACAGCACAAGACCCCAAGTTATGCACCATTAACTAACGCCAAAAACCCATTATTTTATTGACGGACCCTCCAATTATTCCAACTCTTTTTTTTTTTAAGCAAATAATTATTCCAACTTTTAAAGGCACCCAATATAAAAATATTTACACTCCTCAATCCTCATCACGCCGAGGTCACCTTCGTAATTTTGATTCAAACTTTAGCCCTTTTTTTAATGCGCAATTTTTATATTCAAAATAGTTATTAAGCAATGAATTGTTACATATTTATTCAACCACGTGGAACAGCCAGTAACTATCATTATAATAATCAATAAGAGTTTGAGTTTGAAAAAACATAAATAGTTTATATATGTATGATGGGGATGTATGCATACATAGATGGATGGATGTATGTATGTGGATGAAGGATGACGTGACACAGAGGGCCTCTGAGAGGAGAGGAAAATATCATTGCCACGTATGCACTCAATCTATGCTTGAGGCTTCTAAGAGCTCATAAAGATCTTCTCTCTTTCTTTCATTCATTCTCTCTCTCTCTCTCTCTCTCTCCTTCTCTCCTTCTCACTGTCTCTCACAGCATAAACTACCACAACCTCTTAAATATTTCTCTCATGAAAATATTTGGATAAAATTTGGAAAAAAATTCCCATTTCTTACCTCCCAAGCAGGATTATTTGTTTGTCAAGAAATCGGTTCTCCTCTATACACAAGTTCTAAGCTCAGGTACATTTTTTTTTTTTTTGGGAATTTTTTGCTGATTTGTTTTTTTTTACCCTAAAAATTATGTCTTTTCAGGTTTTGTGTTAATTTCTGAAGTTGGTTTGATCACCTCTTTCTCTCTTTATTTTTAAATTTTTTTTTTTCTGTGGTGAATCTGAGTTGTTAGATATTTAAGGGCTAACAATTTTTTTTTAAAAATTTTATTATTTATTATTATTATTGCTATTTGTACCAGCTTTTGAATATTAGCTGACCTGTTTGGCCTCAAGGAAAATTTATTAATTCTCTTACAAAGTCTCATTCTCAGTATTATTTCAGTTTTTTTTTTTTTTTTTTAATTTTAAATTTGATTTTGCTCTTTTTGGTAGGACTCTGTATCAGATTTATCTCTGTTCTGATTTTCATTTTTTAAAAAAACATTTTTTTTTTTGTTGTTGCTGGATTTATAGTGAAAAGTAACTTAGAAATCACCAATAAATTTGGAAACTGAGTAGATATTAGCTACATAGGTCAACCTCGTTGTTTTAATAATTGGCTACAATTTTCTGTGGGATGCATATGATTGGTTGTCTTCTTTTGTATTTGCTATTTGTCAAAAGCAGAACTTTTTTCTGAAATTTGTTTTGGTGTATGACACAATTCTTGGTGATGGATGGTAAAAATATCTGGGCATCCTAATCTGGGAATGGTGAATCACTATATTTTAATTTTTGATTGGTAGCATGTTTTGGCTGGATTGTGGATAATAGCTTTTGATAATCAGAGGCAAAAGGGAATACTTTCAAAGAAGATATATTCTTCGATGGCTGCTTCCAGTGAAAGGTGGATTGACCGTCTTCAGTTCTCCTCATTGTTCTGGCCTCCCCCACCTGATGGTCAACAAAGAAAGGTAACATTTTAATCTTCACTTCTTCTTTTTTTTTTTTTTTTACCTTCCTTAATATTCTTCTCTCAAAATAAAATTTAACCCCAGTGAATTGAATATCAGTTGCACTCTTTCTTGGATTTTGGATTCTAGTAATATATATGTTCTGTTTATGTATGATTTTCTAATGTTTCAATGTTGGGAACAAAGCCTTTAGAACTTTAGCAGTTAAGAAGTGAACATTTTCTATGAATATTCTTTGAAATAAGCAGCAGATATCGTTTTAAGGGTTTTAGATGATGGTGTCAAAGACGTGCGCAGCCTTTGAATTTTATGTATGAATGCAGAAGCTGAGGTGGAGTAATATCATAAATAATGAGGATGAGAAAGTAATATATTTTTACTAAACTGTATAGCTGCAGAAATTTCGTGGGAACTTCTAAATTTTTAAGTTTATAAGTTTAATTGGAAAGTGATTCAATTTTTATTTTTTTAAAGAAAGCAAGCAAATGCTCGCTTTGCAACTGTTACACCAAATCATAGCAGTTGATCTCACTTGCATCTAATAGTTCACATGACTAATAAATTAGAGTCTTTAGATACAAGTGAGATCAATAGCTAATAAAAGGTGTAAGACTTGTTATATATATATATATTTATATTACTTGATATGCCAACTAGTTTGGGATAAAGGTATTGTTGATGGTGATGTTTCATTTTACTTGATTGACTTAAGTTGAAAGACATATGGAAGTATTCAATCTAATAAATTTTCTGGAACTTTTCTGAGTACTTTCTAACTTTGTTTTTCCTCGGAATATTTTCTGCACTTATGCTTCAATCTGTCTAATATTATATTTGTTCTATTGAGGAAAACTGTCCCTGAAATGGGATGATATAATCAATTATTTGTAATCTTCTTTCAGTGAAGTTCCACAAAAGTTTTCCTGATAACCATAATAAGTGGGTAGTTTTTCAGTATTAATTCTAAAAGCATATATTTTATCTTCCATGTAAAAAATTGGATAATTACTCAGTCTGTATCATACTAGTGGGAAAGCATATGAGACATCTTCTGTATTAGAACCTCATCGTAATTTCATTTCCTTGGTTTTTATGACATTATTTCTGCTTTTCCCTAGGATCAAACTGCTGCATATGCTGAGTACTTCATTCAGTTTACATCAGAACAATTTGCTGATGATATTGCTGAGGTATGATAAATGCACCTATATTTACATATAAACCTTGTGAACTGGAAATATATATAAATTATTTTCACGAATTCAATTCTAAATTTTTTGGAGAGCTTTTGGCATGAGAAATCCATTAGTTTTTATCTAATGCCACTCACTGTTCTTTATTATTTTTGACAGTTGATCCGGAACCGTTATCCATCAAAGGAAATTCTTCTCTTTGATGACGTTTTGGGTATTTATGCTTTATCCCATGTTAGTTTAAATTATAGTTGACTGAACGAGATTAATTTTATAATGAATTTATTTCTACTATATGATAATAACTTCTTTATGCATATCCAGCGACATTTGTTCTTCATCATCCAGAGCATGGGCATGCAGTTGTACTTCCAATTATTTCATGTATTATTGATGGTACACTAGTCTATGATAAGACTAGCCCTCCATTTGCTTCTTTCATATCTTTAGTCTGCCCAAAAAGTGAGGTATAATCCCTTGCCTGATATTCTGATTGTCTTTGTATATAATTCAATGTGTTGTGGCTTTCTGTCTTTCAGTTTCATAACTGATTAAGTATAGGATTTATTCAGCCTCAGTATCTGCGAAGAGGTTCTTGATCATTTTTTCATTTCTTTCTTTGTATAATTTTGTAGAATGAATACTCAGAACAATGGGCTCTGGCATGTGGTGAAATTTTGCGTATTTTAACTCATTACAATCGCCCCATATACAAAATGGAAAAGCAATTTGGTGAAACAGAAAGAAGCAGTAGTGGTAGCCGTGCAACGACTAGTGACCCTGTTGATGGGAAATCTGGCCACAATTCTTTGACCCAGCAAGAGAAGAAACCTATAAGGCCCTTGTCCCCCTGGATTACTGATATATTGCTGGCTGCACCAGTAGGCATTAGAAGTGACTATTTTCGGTGGTGAGTAAAATTTAGTAATATATAAATAATAAATTAGTAGCAACTATGTATGTTTTAGCTCTGCTTGCAAATTCTAGGGGTGTCATGGTCCAATTTGGTTCAGTTTGAAGTTTGACCTCAAACTCAATTATATTTCATGGTTCGTAAATTTCAGAATCCTAACTAAAACACCAATTATGGTTTTGTTACCTTTCAAACCATGGTTTATTAATGTTTTCAAGTTTGGTTAGTACATTTTGAATGCCTCATACTTTCAGAAGGTTTTGTCAAATAGCAGTAGGGAAGAAAAATACGTTAAGTGACAGCAATTACATTCTTAAATATAAGTAATTCATTTACAGATTACAAATAAAAAGATCCGGAATCCTCCCAAAGCTACAATGAAACCAACAGAGGAAAGAAAGAAAATACTGACATCAACTCAAAAAGACAAACCCTGTCACTGTGCAAGTGTGACAAGAAATGCCCTTAAAATATCCACAATGAAGCTAAGATGGCTAATCTGTCCTAGAGAAGTTACGGCAGAAGAAAATGCTAAAATTTCTGGAATCATGGCCCAGCCAAAACTGTAAACTCCTGTGAAAAGAGCACAATGGAAAAGATCTTTATTATCCTTTATATTAAGATAGAAAGAGAAAAGTAGAAAAGATTTTGATAGGGACGAAGAGTAGTAGTTAAGAAGAAAAACTATGTTGGGTGGTTAAAGTTGTTAGAATTAGAGAATGAGTTGAAACAGCTGCAGTAGCTTTCTTTTCTTCTGCTTCAACCTTTCTAAAAAGCTCTAGAACCTCTTGTGAAAAAGATAGTTCCGTTAATTATTTATGCATCTACAAAGGTTGAAGCAAAAGAAAAGAAGGCTGTTGGAATAAAGTAAGGTAGTAACTTGAAGGACTCTCCTCCTTTTTTTGTATATTGAAAGTGCAAGTACCTGAGTAGGAGAGAAGGATAATGGCTTGGTTAAAAACTGAACCTTTGAATTATCATCACGCACCTGTCTTAAAGGCTAGCAGGTGCCAATTAAGCTACAAATTTGTAGGCAGTTTTTCTAGTTTGTTTAAAGAAGTATATGGATTGAGCTAAATAATCATCTTTCAAAGTAGTGAAAAAGGAGGCATTTGAACTCATGTGCATTGGGGCTTGCCTGTAATGGAATATAGCGTAAATAAGTTCGAGGGTGTGCACCTTCATATTTTGTCTCAGTAGTATAAATTAGAGCAACTACCTTGTATGGTTATAATCTCTCTTACTTTTATCTTGATAAAATAAAATGCTTACTTGATTTGCTTTTACTCTCTTCCGTTTATCATTGTGTAATGTGTTAAATTATCTTGTTATGCCTTAGGCTTTGAGTAGACTTTTGGTTAAGTCAGTGAATATTGTCATACATTAACAGGTGCAGTGGTGTTATGGGTAAATATGCTGCAGGAGAACTAAAGCCTCCATCAACTGGTATGCTAAATTTTGATGACTTAATATAGAACACTGTTCTTTTTTTTTTTTAATCGCAACATTGTGTGAAAGCAGTGGTAAAGTTGATCCTTTGTGATTGAAAGGTTACGAGTTCAAATTTGAGAAACAACCTTTTTGTAATTATGCAAGGGTAAAGCTATGTATGTACAAGGATTGCCCTCACTCCACCCTTGTTAGTCGGGGTTTAATGGGGAGTAATTTAATATTTTGTGAACAATTATATCAAAATAAGACATTTCTTAAAAAAGTGGAGAATTTGGTGAAGTTGTATGTCTATCTTGTAACACTTAAATCTAGTTCAAGTACTTTTATCCTCAAAAGTCAAAAGGTTTTTATACCCATGAGCTTCAGTATATGTTTACACTTCATATTAGTTGACTATGTGCATAGACTTAGGCATTGCCTTAGTTCATCTTCATGCCTCTCCTCCATCACTACCTCAATCCACCATTTTATCAGTTAATCCAAAATTGATATAAAGAACATATTGGCCTACTTCCCCAACACTGTGGAAGTAGGTTGAGCTTTGCTTTCTCAAATGAAAGTCCCCAAGGAGGTTGCCACTTATGATGTTTAAATGTAGATTCAGAGCATGGCCTACTTGAACTCAAATGCTTTATGTCAAATAATTTGACAAATACTAAAGCTATTGCATCCTGTTAGCCAATATAATAGAACACCAATGAGGAAATATGATAATTGAATACAGCGTAGAAACCAGGAAGCTGTGCCCTACGTGATCAAAGTTAACTTTTTATGTTCCTATTTTTGTTCCTGTGAATCTGTGATCTTTGCACATTTTTGGTTTTTTTTCATTCTTTTTTTATGCTCTTATTGATGGCACCTAACTGTAATTCTTAACACAAATCTTCCATTGTGATTCTAGTCATTGAACATACTCAATGCACTGGCATGCATTCATTTTCTTATTTACATTGAACACCTGTATAATAAATCATTAATGAATTTGATTCAGTAAAGACAAGATTATCATTTTTTATTATGATATTGATGCCTATGTTTATGTTCTTAATATAATAAGGAGGTGAATTTGTTTTTTCTCTTAGCTTCTTCCCGCGGTTCTGGGAAGCATCCTCAACTTGTGCCTTCAACTCCAAGATGGGCTGTTGCCAATGGTGCTGGTGTTATATTAAGTGTTTGTGATGATGAAGTTGCTCGTTATGAAACTGCTACTTTAACAGCAGCTGCTGTCCCTGCACTTTTGCTTCCTCCTCCAACAACAGCTCTTGATGAGCATCTGGTTGCTGGATTGCCAGCTCTAGAGCCATACGCACGCTTATTTCATAGGTTATTTTGAGCGTAATACCTTTCTTGTTATTTAGTTGTTCCTAGAGTTCATCTGCCTGAGACAATGTATGTATCCAACTTTTGTAGATATTATGCAATTGCTACTCCAAGCGCTACACAAAGACTTCTTCTCGGACTTCTAGAAGCACCCCCTTCGTGGGCTCCAGATGCACTTGATGCTGCTGTGCAGCTTGTCGAACTTCTTCGAGCTGCTGAAGATTATGCTTCTGGCATAAGGGTAAGCTGTATAGTTTTGATAGACACAGAATAACTGTGATGCTGGCATTAATGGAAAACCCTAGCATTTTCATTATCATAACTTTCATAAAAAATTTCCAAGTGAATGTTCTGAAATAAAATTAGTAATCACTGAGTGAAAAATGTTGTGCGATGTAATTTAAAACCCAAATCAAATATACATTCAAGAAGAGTTAATATGGTCCTTCTCTCACGTAGTGCATTGGTTTATGTTGATGGTTGAATGTTAGGTCTTTTGCTAGATCTTCTTTCACATTTTATATTTCTCATAGTAGGTGAATCTGCTTGTGTAAGGCTTATGGTTGTAGGTGGAGGAAACGGATCAGTGATTGTTTGTTTCAGCAGTCTTTCCATTCAATATTGGATTTAGCTTAGATTTATAAGCGGTACAGTGAGAGACACTTTTCCACCTTTTTCCTTTATTGCGGTTTGTCATGAATAGGACTATAAAAAGGGTTTCTGTGCCTGATGGTTGTTGTGGAGTCCTTTGCAATAACTTACAAATTGTCCTGTTGAACGGTCGTTGTAAACTGTTTGCCTAGTTAGTATGGAGGCTGAGCTGACTATGTAGAAAAGCACTAGACTTTTTGAACCACCCCTCCCCCCCTCCCCGGGAGTTATACCACTTTTTTAACTGCTTGAGAAGATTTGAAGGAATTTAATAGAGGTTCCTATTTTGTAACTTCTGAACAAATGCAATATACATTCTATATGTGCATTGCAGTGGGATTACTAGCTACAGGATGGCATACTATTGTGCATTTTGATGTTTTCATCTGAAGAAACTTTGTGAAAGATTTAAAACCAATTGACTGATTTTAATGCAGCTTCCTAGAAATTGGATGCATTTGCATTTCTTGCGTGCAATAGGGACTGCAATGTCCATGAGAGCTGGTATAGCCGCTGATGCTGCGGCCGCTTTGCTTTTCCGTGTACTTTCACAACCTGCATTACTTTTTCCTCCTCTTAGGCAAGTTGATGGAGTTGAAGTTCAGCATGAACCTTTGGGTGGTTATATTTCTTCTTACAAAAAGCAGGTGATGTTCATTTTTTTCAGTTACATTCTTTTTTATTCTCATTTTGTAAAGCAGTGTAGATAGATTCCTTCTGTTTACTGATGATCTAAAATATTTGTTGTTGATCAGATAGAAGTTCCTGCAGCTGAAGCCTCTATTGAGGCCACTGCCCAAGGCATTGCATCAATGCTTTGTGCCCATGGTCCAGAGGTTGAATGGAGAATTTGCACCATTTGGGAAGCTGCTTATGGCCTGATTCCTACAAGTTCCTCAGCTGTTGATCTTCCAGAAATTATAGTTGCAACCCCACTACAACCTCCCATGCTGTCATGGAATTTGTACATACCCCTACTTAAGGTCCTGGAATATCTTCCTCGTGGAAGCCCATCAGAAGCATGTCTCATGAAAATATTTGCTGCTACGGTGGAAGCTATTCTTCAGAGGACATTTCCATCTGAGTCCACTCGAGAACAAAACAGGAAAACAAGATACTTCTCTGCTTTTGGTTCTACCTCTAAAAACCTTGCTGTTGCAGAACTTCGTACTATGGTTCATTCACTTTTCTTAGAATCATGTGCATCTGTAGAGCTTGCTTCCCGCCTACTTTTTGTTGTCTTAACTGTCTGCGTCAGTCATGAAGCCCAATTCAGTGGAAGCAAGAAGCCAAGAGGTGAAGATAATTATTCAGCTGAGGAAATCATTGAGGACTTACAAGCAATGTCTGAAAGCCAGAAAGAAACAAAAAATAGAAAGACGAAGAAGCAAGGTCCTGTAGCAGCATTTGATTCTTATGTTCTTGCTGCCGTTTGTGCTCTTGCCTGTGAGCTTCAGTTGTTCCCTTTGGTTTCTCGGGGGAATAACCATTCTGCTTCCAATAATGCGCGAGATATAGCCAAGCCTTATAGAATAAATGGATCTTCCCATGAGTTGCGGAATGGCATAGATTCAGCAGTACGCCATACTCACAGAATTTTAGCAATTTTAGAGGCACTATTTTCATTGAAGCCATCTTCTGTTGGCACCCCATGGAGTTACAGCTCAAATGAGATAGTTGCAGCAGCTATGGTTGCTGCCCATGTTTCTGAGCTATTTAGACGGTCAAAAGCTTGCATGCGTTCTCTGTCTGTTCTGATTCGTTGCAAATGGGACAATGAAATTCACTCCAGGGCGTCATCATTGTATAATCTCATAGATATTCACAGCAAAGCTGTTGCATCTATAGTTAACAAGGCAGAGCCATTAGAAGCAACCTTAATTCATGCACCCATTTGGAAAGGCTCAATTGTTAGCTCTGATAGTAAAAAACGGAATCAGTGTGAAAGCAGTAGCTGCTTTGAGCCTGGGCAAACATCTGTTGCGTCTTTGGAAGATTCAGACCCCTCAAAACCTAACCATAAATATGTGAAAACTCCATGTTCAAATGAAGCATCAAGGTACACCTTGGGTAAAGGTGCCACAGGTTTAGCGTTGGATGCTTCTGATCTAGCCAACTTCCTCACGATGGACAGGCATATAGGACTGAATTGCAATGCACAAATTTTTCTGAGATCCACGCTGGCAGAGAAACAAGAGTTATGTTTCTCTGTAGTTTCACTACTGTGGCACAAGTTGATTGCATCTCCTGAAACTCAACCTTGTGCAGAAAGCACTTCTGCCCAACAGGGCTGGAGACAGGTACAAGTACAAATGTTATACTGCAGCAACTATTATCCTTTTTTCTTTCTGCTAGAACTATACATGTTTTAATCTATAACACAATTTGGGAGGAAAGTTTCCTGGATGGAATGGCTAAGTTCTAGTCAATCATAAAAGTTAGGTTCTGAAAGCTGCAGATGAGGATGAATAGGTGTAACCTTTTTTCACAAGAAAGATGGAAAATATGCTACTTAAATGCTGAAACAGCAACACATGAAGAAAGCAACATACCTTAAAATGAACATTGAAACATATATATTTTGAAAATAACTAATTGCTGTTCTTGTCATGAAAGGTAGATTATAATGCTCAAGCCCGAAAAATCTACATTAAATAGAAAGAAGCAGTATACCAAGACAAATTTACCACTAAGACAAGATATACTGGGTTTAACTTATGAGCGTCAAATGAAACAATGATAGTATATGCTAAAGGTTAGAGGTATCTAGAATCCACATTTTACTATATTTTTGAATGCTACAAATTGGTAAAGATTGAAGGGGAATCATATATGGAGAAAACGGAGCCTCCGCTTCTATTTCAACTTCCCATGTGGAGAGATAGACTTTTTAATCGGAACAGAAAGTATTGAAGGGTTAGTTAAATGAAACAAAGAGATTCCTAATTGAGACACATCAAAAGATAGTTATAGTTATAAATGTATGTATGTGTGCCTAGTGATTGGGTGAATGCTAAAATCTCATTTATATCCCTATTTCCATTGAAAAGATTCATTACTGACCATTTTGTGATTTAATGTGATGCAGTTTGTTGATGCATTATGCAATGTTGTATCAGCCTCACCTACGAAAGCAGCTACAGCAGTTGTTCTTCAGGTTGAAAATTTCATCTTATTATGAAATGGTTGCATAAATTACTCTGGTCACTGACTTGGACACGTATTCTGTCTAGCAAAAACTATTACCATTTCTTATTCAAAAAAAAAAAAACCAAAAAATATTCTTAAACATACTGCCAATTTTTTTAAGAAATATCATTTCTAATACCTGTGAGAATTGGCTTTTAATGTCTATAAAGTTCTAATACCTGGGGTTGTTGCTTGTCAGGCGGATAGAGAATTGCAGCCCTGGATTGCAAAGGATGATGATCTCGGTCAAAAGATGTGGAGAATCAATCAACGGATCGTAAAATTGATAGTAGAACTTATGAGGAATCATGACAGTGCAGAATCATTGGTAATTATGGCAAGTGCATCAGATTTACTACTACGAGCCACAGATGGGATGCTGGTTGATGGAGAAGCTTGCACTTTACCACAGCTGGAGGTAGCATGCTACACCATTTGCTTCTCTATAAATTTTCAAGTTCTTTTCATTTACCAAGTTAAATCAGTTCTGCCTCTCCTACATACACCCATTTGTTGCACTGTGAAGGGAGGATTTGGTATTTCATATATTTTAAGTTTTGTACGTAGGCTTTACTGATATTCATATTTCAATTTTTAATACCAATGGGCAGCTACTGGAAGCAACAGCTAGAGCAGTTCAGCCTGTGCTTCAGTTCGGAGAATCTGGAATGGCAGTGGCAGATGGCCTTTCAAACCTTTTAAAGGTAAAACAAACGTCCCTTATTGGAACTTCTAATATTAGCTGGGTTATGGTGAACGATATATGTTAGATTGTTAGTTAAACATTGCAAATATGATTCTAGATAATGAGAAAACTGCATATTTGAAAGGGCAATCAAGTGCAAAACTAAAGTAATTAATGTGCTTGTTTTTGAGTTGTATAAAATTGTTTGACTGATATACTTGTGAATAAACCACATGCAGTGTCGGCTACCAGCTACTGTTAGATGCCTTTCTCATCCAAGTGCACATGTCCGTGCTCTGAGCATATCAGTTCTTCGTGACATTTTTCATACTGGTTCAATCAGATCTTGTCCTAAACCACCGCGAATAAATGGCAACCATAACCCCTCTTATCAATACTACAATTTAGATGTCATAGACTGGCAAGCTGACACAGAAAAATGCTTGACATGGGAAGCTCACAGCCGACTTTCAAATGGATTGTCTATTAAGTTTCTTGATATTGCTGCCAAAGAATTAGGCTGTTCTATCCATATGCAATGACATGGATCCATGTAGAACCATCTTACCCTCAGCCGGTGACAATTTTTTTACCAGACTTATATATAGTAACGGACGTTATTTGTGCTTTTGGAACTAACGGTTTTGCAAATAAGCAACATCATTCTGATAGTCCTGCAGTCATAATTCCAGTCTGTTTATAGAAAAGCTCATGTTGTATTTTATGCATGTGTTGTACTTATAAACCCTGAGCAAATATTACTCTGCTCTCAATAGAACAGTCTTGTACAGTAACGAAAGACGAGGCTTTAACCACGTCTCTTTTTATCCGTCTCATGTTGTCTTATTCTTATATTGATGTATCTTCTCATGAAATTCAGTTTTAATTATTAGACTGATGTATATTCAGCTGGGTTTTTCTTTTCATCTATATTTTTAGTTGTGATTCTTGTTGGTATTCATCATTTTACCAAATATATGTGTGTTGTTATTTTATCTAATTGTGTAGGATATTATCGAGTGTAAGATACAGTACATTTTGTTTTAAAAAGAAAAACCGCTTGATAAACGAGAATTTCTGGAGCTAAATCAACGAATCCATGAGTTGTTTTATTTCCTTATTTCCTACTATGACTTAACCCATAGGAACGGAAGGTCCTTGCTTCTTCACGACCATTATCAATTATTTGTTCAAACTGAATAGTCCGAGACTTTTGGATATGAGAGAGCACAACATTGATTACAGACATATTATGTGACTTAAGCAATCACATCACCAAAACCCTGCTCTTTCATCAAATCATGTCTATAATTAAGTTACGCGGGCTTTAACCAGTGCTCATAGATATCCTGCATAAAATCTTAGCACCTATATTCATGCCTTCCCAATGGCCACAAACATGGGAACCAACAAACTAGAGCACTTTTTTGCACAAACCAATGCGTCATGGTTGAGTTCTCCAACATGTAACAGTTCCGCTTGCATGTGTAGCTTATTGCTGATTATAGATTGATGATCGAAATTCATAAATGAATGCGGCTGTGTACTTATTTAGGAACATTCTCTTCCTCTACAGTTTTATTTTCAGAAGTCATCTTATTACTTATGCAACATCACTCGGCAGATATGCGTAAAGAACCAAGGATTAAACTGTTGCCTTGAAGAGCACTTTCAAATGCTACAATTTATTATGAATAACACTATTTTAAGATGAACTTATCTCATTTATAAAAAAAAAAAAAGTGCTTACCTTGAAAGATAATAAGAATGATATACCTTTTCTTGTAGGGATGTAAATAGGTTAGGCCGGCTTCTAGGAGCCTACGACTTAGCCTATATTAGGCCAGACTTGGTCTATTACCAATAGTCAAATAGAACAGACATATGCTTTTAAAAAACCTATTTAGAAAATAAACTATAGATTTTTTTGTACATGTTGAAACATTTTCAGTTGTTTTGGTAGACGGAGACGGAATTGTTCGACGCCTATAGACAGGCTTATATCATGTTATTTATTTAAAATAAAATTATTTTAATAATTTTGAATAATAAAGTAATATTATTTTAGTTATTTTTTAATTATGAAATGTTTAATAAGCTTAAAGAGGCTAATAAGTCTGGGTCAAGGCTGTTATTTTTTAAATATGAGTTAGGACAGACTTGTAATTTGAGTCTATATAGGCTAATAGGTCAAGCCAGGCCCAAGTTTTTTTTTTTTTAACATAGGCCTGACTTATTTAAGCCAAAGTCTAGCCTAGCCTATTTATATCCCTATTTTTTTGATTTAATTCAAAATGCATATTATTTTCATTTACCGTGTTTAAAGGTGAATGCACTCTAACTTACTCATTTTAGAAATAAATTTATTTGAGAAGAGTTTTTTTTTTCTTTTTATTTCATGACTAGTTTTGGTTTGGTTGAAAGGAGGACATTAGGCAGAGTTCTGCTTATCACGGGAAAAAGAAAAATAACAAAATAAAATCCATCTTTTGTTCTAGTTCACAAGTTATTATTTTTCTACTTTTCAAAATTCATATTCAGAATATTTTTTTTAATATAAAATATAATCATATTCAAATAGACCCAATGCTTTAAGCAGAGAAAGACCAAAAACCTAGGCCACTAGCTCGAGAATATCTTTGGTATATCAAATGTACCGAATTCAGTACATATTTTTTTCAAATTTGGAAAAAATTTGTAATGTGTCGAGAATCAAAAAATTTAAGAGTGATGAATTTTTTTTTTTTTTTTTTCAAATTTGAATAAATCATGTATCAAATCCAGTACATCTGATGTACCAAAGATATTCTCCACTAATGGACCAAAGGAGCTATAAGACCAAACTAAGGATTATGAAAGTAAACAACGGCATACGTGTCGTCCTATAGGGGTAAAATCGTGAATCCAGTTACACTTTTTTTTATGATTAAGGGTATAAATAAATTAGGTTATGTTAGATTTTGATCTAAATAGGTCAGACTTATATAAAATATTCTCACCTGGTTTATTAACTTGATATAAGCTAAATTATAGGTCTGATAAGATCCATATCAAAAAATAAAAGGTCTGGTCTTGACCTATAAGCTTATTTAAGTTTCGAAGAGTTTAATATCTATCAAGAATTTGAAAAAATAAATGAAATAACTAGTGCATTACCCGTGCGATGCATGGAGGAAAAATATCAAAAAATTTGTTAGCAACTATCGGTGATTAGTCTCTAAAAGAAAGAACGTGTCATATATATATATATATATATATATATATATATATATATATATATATATATATATATATATATGACAAAATTATTTCTGCGGCCGCTGCACATCCAGCAAGCCAGGATACGGTTCCGGATCTTAGGATATGGTTCCGAATCCTGTTTTTTTTTTTTTTTTAAGAAAAGCTATTGAGCTCACTTTTCTGTGTCAGTTACAGATAGCTACTCTCTGCAGCCGCTGCAGAAAAAGTATCCCATATATATATATATATATTATCAATTAAAATAAAATAGGCCAAGCCTAGTAAAAATAGGCTTCTAACCCAAGGTTGACAAAATTTAGTAAAAAAATCAAAAAACGTAAAATCATGATAAAAAAAAAAGGAACGTAACAAAAACGTTTCGATGAAAAAAATGGTAAAAACATTAAATTTAAGTTTTAAAATGAGTTTTTAACTACCTTGCTCTAGCATGTTGTTTAAATGAGTTTATTTTTTTTTAAAACTTGAATATTTTCTCTTTTATTAAGTGCCTGTTGGGTGAAAAATTTTTAGTTTCTCTTCTTATAAAGAGAAACCCACTGAAATATATTTTTATAAAATTTATTATTATAATTTTTTAATAATGAATATAATAAAATGTACACCAGCTTTTTTTGAATCATCATTTTTTTTATATTTATGCTCTTATTATAAATTTTACTCTCTAACTTGATGATTCCTTCCCTCCAAAATATTGAGAATGTCACAAAGAAAAATAATTAATATATTTTACTAATTGTTAAATTTATTTTTTCTTTTAAAATCTTCATCTTTAACATTTTTATCTTTTATTTCTTATTATATTTATATTTATTTAAATAATAGAGGGTTCTAATACGCTATATGATAATTTTAATTAGAAATAAAATTTTCGAAAATTATTTTATCATACAATTTTTTTTTAAGCCTTTTTTTTTTTTGATTTTTTTTTAAGCTTTAACCTTTCCAAGCGGCACACACAACAAAACCCCAGCGAAGACACAGAACGCAGCACACTATATAAAATCTCGATTCGCTCACAAACCCTAGAATTTTAGATCCTCAATCGGCCAACACCAACACCAACACCTTTGGCGGCAGTCGTCACCTTGTAACCACTCCTCGGCGACGAAAATGGTAGGTTTCAATCTCGATTGCGTGTCTTTCTCTCCGATGACTCGAAAGGTGCAATTTCGGGCAAACGTAAATAGTGTTTGTTTTTTATTTTGTTTTGTGAGTGTGGCAGGCTCTGGTGGCAAACGAGGAATTCCAGCACATTCTGCGTGTGCTGAACACGAACGTTGATGGGAAGCAGAAGATAATGTTCGCTCTCACCTCCATCAAGGGTATTGGCAGGAGATTCGCCAACATCGTTTGCAAGAAGGCTGATGTTGACATGAACAAGAGGTTTGTTTGTTTGTTTGTTTGTTCGGTTGAGATGAGCACGTGTCTTTCTTTTTTGTTGTTGAAATGAGGGTTGTTTTTTGTTGTTGGCAGAGCTGGTGAATTGAGTGCTGCTGAGTTGGATAATCTAATGACAGTGGTTGCAAACCCTAGGCAATTCAAGATACCAGATTGGTTTTTGAACAGGAAGAAGGATTACAAGGATGGCAAATACTCTCAGGTTGTGTCTAATGCACTTGATATGAAGTTGAGGGATGACTTGGAGAGACTCAAGAAAATCAGGTCCCTCTTTCACCTCTAATAACTATTTATTCAACTTTTAACTTAATAATATTCTAACTTAAATTGAAGGGTCACTTGTAAAGTGTATTTGATTTGGGTCGGGATGGTAGTTTTGGTACCCATGTGTGCTGATAGCCTGGTAATTATTTGCTCAGATTCAAATAAGCATTTTTTTTGGCAAAATCCAATGATAGCTAGATATTTATCCATAATCATATAGTGAACATGTATGAAGTCTCTTGTTGATGTGTGCTGCATGAGATGCGTGTTTAATCATGCTAAATGATGTAGATTCAGATGCAGAATTGTTGTTGATTTGATATGGTTTTCATGTTTTCACTCGTCAACTTGTTCTTTCCTTGCCTTGATGATGTCATTGTTAGCTTGTGTTGTTCATATATGACATCATAGAAGTAATGATTCTTGTTTACCTGATAGCAATATTTATCTCATTTCAATCTTGATATTAGTTTATGTCTTCGAAAGAAGTCGATTAAAGTAGTTGCTGGCTTCTTCTGATAACTTGTATTTGATTTTTCTGTTAGCCATATAGGTGCGAGATGTCAGTGTAACTGTTGAATATACAAATAGTGCTCTTGGATAATGTGGTCTAAATCATTGTGTTTCGGTTAGAATGACAGCATTGCACTCGATAGGATATTTATGTATCTCTTGTCGAATTTTGTAAATATCAACATACCTGAGGATTTCTGTGGAGAACTTATGAATTTACTGATTAATTAAATTCTTGCTGCTTTAATAACTCTTAAGACTTACATCCTTACTTTTATGCAGAAACCACCGTGGTTTGAGGCACTACTGGGGCCTTCGTGTTCGTGGTCAGCACACAAAGACTACTGGCCGCAGGGGAAAAACTGTTGGTGTCTCTAAGAAGCGTTAAGCTGTTAATGTTTTGGCTTGGATATTAGATATTGTTGAGGAGGCGAATTTGAAGTACATTAGACATGTTTCGCATACCGGCTTTGTGTTGGTTGTTAAATGATGTGACAATTTCAATTTTGTTTGTTATTTGTGTTAAGTTTCCTTTTAGTTGAATGATGTTTGGTATTATTAGTTATAGAGGGAGACCTTAAAAGAGTATTGATGAAATTACGCATTCCCTTTGTTCCTAAAAGGAAAGTACTACTTTTTCAAATAATAATAATATTAATTACAACGATAATAATAACAATAATTACAATAATAATAAACTAGAGATGCGAAAAGTTATAATTTTTTGATGAGTCATTGAACTGTCTTGTGGTTTTGTACAGAGTTTTTGTATCCTGAGGGATTCTATTGGTGCTTGTTTGTAAAAGGTGTTGACGAAAGTTATGTTTGCTCCACTTGTAAATGGTAAAGGGTCATTGCACACCACGTTTAATGGTGATAAATGGATTAAATTATTTCGGAGTTGTTCTTTAGGACGCAACCCATTTCTATCATGCATCTTTGGTGACAAGTTTTCACACTTCTTTGTATGCCTACGTTGTGTTGGGCAGAAACAGCAAGCAACTAAAATGGAGCTTTCCGGTTAATCTGCTTAATATATGTTCACATTGGTGGAAAACGATTGAGAGAGTTACTCAAGTTTCTCGTATGGTTGTTGGCACGAAGATTCGAAGACGTTAATTAGAGAAAATGAACGGGAAGGTGGGTGGTGATTTGGGGGAATCCTCTTATTTTTATTTCTCGAATCAAGTGATCATTTGCAAGCCATTAGGATTGGTTTAATGGTAAGAGATTTGGATAGTTTGTATTAGATTATGTGTTTAATTCTCACTAATGTAACCAAAAAAAAATATTTGACTTGCTTTTTCTTATTCATTTTTCACATATTTTTCAATAAAATTGCGTTGCACGAGTCATTAAATTGTCAAGATTTCTGCCAAAACCAATATACCTTAAAAACATTGTAAATAACTCTTATTTATTTCTCAAGAAATGTCAATCCTTCTATCAGAGAGAACATTACCCATGCTAGTGGGTTTAAGGTTGCTGACTCTCTTGATAGATACCTAGGTGCGATGTTGTATCACAGAAGAGGCAAGAGAAGAAACTATTCTCATGTCCTTACCCGTGTCAAGACTAGGCTATCTAATTGGAAACGCCAACTACTCTCCTTTGCTGGTAGATTAACTTCGGCAAATTCTGTTCTCAGCTCCATCCCTGTGTACCATATGCAGCATGGAGTCCTTCCTATCTCAGTGTGCAATGAGATTGAATAGATCCAGCGTTCCTTTGTTTAGGGTGACACCAAGGATACGAAGCGGGTTCATCTTCTTTCTTGGGATAAGTTATGTAAATCGAGGAATGTGGGAGGGTTGGCCATCCATAACCTCAAGGTCCATAATGATGCCTTCCTGTACAAAGTGGCCTGAAAGATCATTAACCAGAGTGAGACTCTCTGGGTCTAAGTCTTGAACGGTAAGTATAACAGGAATGTAGATCTGCGAAGAAACATCAAGGTGCAAAGCTATGATTCCACCCTTTGGAAAGGAATTGGGCGCATTTGGAAGGAGTTTCTTGATACTCTCCAATGGGATATAGGGAATGGAAGGGAGGTATCTTTCTGGCAGGATCAGTGGACTCTTCTTAATAGACTTCTCCTGGAGCTTACCACAACTGACCAAAGATGTTATGATGTTAACCTCAAAGTGTTTGACATGGTTGATGTTTTGGCGCTTTGATATCTTAGTCTAGTGTTTACCTTCAGACGTGATTCAAGTCATTCGTGCCACCCTCCCTTCTTCGGTTGAGAGATGAGCAGACCGGCTCGTGTGGAAGGATAATGCTTCTCATAACCACATGATTAGTTCTGCTTATCATAAGCTTATGAATTTTGAGTCCCTTATCCCTGATCAAGTTTGGAATCTCATATGGAAGTGGAGAGGCGCAATGGCTTAGCAACTTCATATGGATGATCTATCATGGTCGACTCCTAACTAGAGAGCATACTACAAAATGGGGTGGCTCTCCTTATTGCTTTGCCTGCACTAATAAAGTGGAAGATATTATCCATATTCTCCGTGATTGCAAGCACTTGCTCTCGATTTGGAATGCTTGGTTTGCAGGATCTATCCCTAACAACTTTCTATCCATGCCTCTGGATGTGTGGATTCGCAGAAATATGAACAAAGATTGGCGCCACCAGCAAATTTTGGATTGGAGAGACATCTTTATTACTACAACGTGGTTCCTGTGGCATTGGAGAAATAATGAAGTCCATGATCCTTATTTTTCTAGACGAAATAATTCTTTAATCCTAATCTCTACTTATATAGGAGAAGTCAGAACCAGTTTATCCAGACAGGAGCAAATGCATATCACTAGCACAGAAGGAGTGCAGGTGAGATGGGCTGCCCCTCCCTATGGCTGGTGGAAAATGAACATTGATGCTGCTGTAAAGCACAACCCAAAGTCAGCTTCTTGTGGGGGAGTAATTAGGGATAATAATGGCAACTGGATCTTGGGCTTCATGTACAAGATTGGGATCTGTTCCCCCTCTGTTGCAGAACTCTGGGCAAGGGTCTACAGGTGACTTGGAGTAGAGGAGCTCATCAGCTCATAGTGGAAAGTGACTGCTTGATGGCAATCCAGGCTATTGCCAAGAATAGTGTGAACTGCTTAAACCATCAAATTGTGAATAGTATTAAGCACTGGTGTAACAAGAATTGGCAGGTTGCCTTTGTGCATGTCAAGAGGGATGAGAATGCTTGTGCTGATTGGCTTGCCAACAAAGCCTTGAGTTGTAGGGAAGAGTTTGTGACTCTTACTAATGCTCCTATAGAGTTGGGTCCTCTTTTGGACTCAGACATTTCTTCCTTGTAATTTGTTTCTTGGACTTAAGCCCCGCCTTTGTACTAAAAAAAAAAAAAAAAAAAAAAAACACATTGTTTTGTAAATAAGGTAATGTGTTAAATTTTATGGTCCAAGCAGCTAGCTGTTTGCTTTATTTTGTCAGCACGAAAAATTCATCAATAAGTGCACACCATCAAAGCACAGATTATAATAACGTATCGAGAATAAATATATTCTGATCATGAAAATTTTGCATGGAACCTTGACCTAAAAGGAAATAAATAACCTCTGGGATCCAAAACAAGAAATCAAATTTGAAGAATTACAAAATGAGGTTGAAATAATCAGAACCAATGAGGTAGTTATAATTTCAAATAATAAAATACTTTCCTAGAATCACCTATCTTGGTATTATGCAAATAAAACCACCATAATGAGTGAAGGCTATGAAACTATCGGCTTTCAGTTTTGTTGGTGGGGAGAGATAGAGAGTGACCCCAACGCTCTTTTCCACCAGGTTTTGATGAGGCATTGCCATACCATATCATTCCAACCACAGCTATTATCATCCCTACAATCACATGAAGATTGAGACCATCCCTCCCAAAGAAAAAGAACCCCAACATTAATACAAGTATTGTCTTCATATGACCTAGCACTTGAAATGAAACAGCAGTAAATCTCCCAATGCAGATAAATTGGCTGAGGTTGGTCCCAACCGCAATAGTGCATGATAGAAATATGAACATCTGCCAAGGCCAACACAAAAGATGAGAACCTTAGTGAAGGCAAATATCAACGCACATAACACAACCATATATAACAGTTCATACTTGAATCCTTATGATCACATTGATAGGCATGGTAAAATACTTAGAATGTCCACTGCCAAGTGTGTTGTTCAATTTGCATTCCATTATCAATTTTGTTCTATAACTTTTGTTTCATTTTCTTCATTAAATCATCAAATTGAAGCTAAATATACACCCTTGTATATATACATTGAAGTTAAATTAATCATTTAGCATGCAGAGAGAAAATGTAGGAAAGTCATAGCCTTCATGTTCAACTAAAAAGACAATAGATAATGAAAATTGAAACTTAATGAGGAGGCACCATAGACTAAATTTAAAGAAGAATTGGCAATAGTAGTAATTAAAAAAAATTCCACGTGTGGGAGTTAAAAACTTTTAGTAACATAAAACAAATGTATTTGAGACAAATCAAGCACACTGATAAGCAGACACTGATAAGCAGATTATATATCTAAAGCGAGACACACCTAAATAACGGAGTCATGTATAAACATACAGGCATGCAAACAAGACCACATATATCATATGCACAATTATCTAGATACATTTTTTTGTTGAAATCAATATTGATATAACACATCAACCCATCCATTATAACTAGTAAATTAATTGAATCTACAAATGCAAGCACTCATTTTCTCAGAAAAAAAATTGTCCAGTATCTATACATTGAATTTAATAGCATTGATATCTTTTCATGATCGAGCACTTACCAAAGAGCCTGCGTTATAAGCATATCTGTCAACTCTGTTGTCTGTCAACCAATAGTCTAGAAAAGGGCCTACTAACAGTAGTGATGCAGCCTGTGCAGGTGCTGTATGTCCCAAAAGGTTGAAAGAACTTAGTGAATACTTCCGTTGAAGATAATGAACATACTGCACATAAAAAGTTTTGAAAACCCATTAGTATTGAATTGAACAAACAAATCAGAAAAAGAAATAAAATAATTCAGATTGAGACACCTTATAGTAAATAACAGAACAGGAGTGTTGATAGCAGGCTGAAACATGAATAGCTTTCATAATAACATAATTTTTATGAAGAGCATTCATGTGATATGTCAGCATATTATGTGACACTATATTAAGACAACAGAAATGATATTGCAAATGTTTGTCTGATTCCATAACTCTTTGTAATGTTGTGTATGCAGCTGTTTGTGCTTGCATGAATCAATATATGATTTAATTATGCATTTAAGTTTGTACAGATGCAGTATGTCACATGTAGTGGAATGTCACACTTACATATTGTTGCAGCGAAGTGCTCCATACTGCTATTAAGGCAGCAATGAAACCTTTTGCATTAACACTCACATCAGTTACAGTGCAAACACCAACACCCAAAAGAACAACACCTATGCTCAGTTTTGTGTCTCTTGAATACCGCATCTTGTCCAAAACAACTTCCAATAGGCAGGATACAGGGATCATACTCAACTTAGCAATCTGAAAATGGTCAAAAAGTAAGTTTAACTTCTGGAGGCATTAATGAACTAATATAAAAAATTCAGCCCAACTCACTTGATAGAATCCAACTGAGTTCCACATTAGACTGACATTCATTCCAACAATGGAGAAGTTAGCGAAGAAAACAAATTTTAGAAGTTCAGGCAAGGGTAAATGAGATGGCTGGATGTATCCCAGCATTCTTAGTATGACAGTCATCAAAGTTGTAGTAGCAAAATGTAGACCTGTTAATGTTGTAGCTGCAGGAAATATAGGCAAATCATCATATTTAAAAGAAGATAAGAAATTACTATTAAACCATGATGATAGATTAACTGGCACAAGACAAAGTAGATCAATAACAGAAATATCATTTGGAAATTGGAAAAGGTATTTACCAAAACTGAAGCCATAAGTGGCCATCAAAGCTTTGTTTACAATGATAACTCCAACAGAAGTGACAACATTGAACATCCATGCAGCTGCATCGACTGCAGCCTTCTTCTCTGCCTTGCTAGCCGGAGCCATATTCTTTTTTTTTATTTTTCACAACTTAACACAGATCTCTTCTAACTAGCCTCCATAACATTCCATCCACGTTCAAATGATGTGAAGAAGTCAACCCTTTAAAGTAAACAAAGAAGCCTGGTAAAGTGGAAGTTCATGAAACTTCCATATTAGAAATAAAAAGAATACATATGGAAAATGTGACCCTAAATCACTATGATTGAACAATGAATATATCTAAAAAAATTGTAAAAAGAATAAGGTGAAGTAAGGAATAAGGATAAGCCTCCACCAAAATCACACCATAATTTCATTAAAAACAGGCCCACATGGTATGGTCTTCAATTCAACCCATCATGATAATTCTGACATATTTGATCATTCCCAAGCTATAAGAAATTATTTTATTCAAAATTAGGAACAGGTCAGCGAGAAATCAATGCACACAACGTATAACATGAAAAACATCACGAACTGTCACTGAATAAAATAGATCTTGCATCGAAAGTGATATAGAAGTACATTTCTATTACAATCATAAATGGTAATAGCCCCTAAAGTGATTCACTCATTTTCTGGGTGGATACCAAAACAAACGCAATCTCGAAGACAGTACCCGTTTGAATGCAATGCCAATTCCAATCATAATTTGGATTTACAGGGTGATGGTTGTCAAAATCAAAACTCCTGAGTTCAATAGAATGTCATATCAGCTGAAACCAATTCAAATAAATCGAACTACAATCCATCGCCAAAGAAATCCATAAGATTTGACAATGCAAACCAACTCTTAGCTCTATGAAAAAAAAATTAAATTTTTTTTCCACTCTTGTTCTTCAAATCCATCACAAACAGATCCAAAAAGGGGAATCAGATCCAAAAGGGTAGCGTTGAAAATTATTAAAAAAAGAAAAGAAAAAGAGATCAAACATGGGTAAGCTAGTATTCACCAAGATTCCTTTTTTTTTTCCCCTTCAAATGAGAAACAGATAAGATTCAATTAATCAATTAAACTTTTTTTGAACCTTTTGAAGGAATGAGAATGTGATTCAAAATGGGTTGATAGAGAAAAGAAAAAGAATCAAACGGTGAGTGGAGGTGGCATTGTACCTTGGAGTGTAAGGAAACGTGGGAAACTGGAACAAGGAAAGAGGGGGTTTTGCGGTTTGAGATTGAAGTAGGAGTGGCACGCGCTAAGCACCCAACAACAGAACCACAAGCATGTTAAGGTTAATAAGTTTCAGAAACCATCTTTTTCTGATTCATTCAGAATCCTCGTTAGTTTTGATATGGCCCAACGTCCACGTTCTCCATAGGCTTTGGAACAAACAACACAAGTGTAATGTGTTCTCTTTGTTTTTATTTATTTTGTTTCTTTTCCCTCAAATAATCACAATTATATTAAGGAAAATATTTTTCTTATGTTGTAGAGATAAAATTATAAATGGGACCCATATAAGAAAAAAGAGTTGTGGGATCCAATACTTTTGTGTGTGTAGAAAAGTTGTTTATATCATGTAAAATGAGATAAAAATAACCCTTATATTAAACGATAGTATAGCATGTAGAAGTAGAACGATGAAATCAAATCAATTTTCAGCGTAGAATATTTTATATTGTATCGCACGTTATTGAAAGATTAGCATATAAGATAATGATATTTCTTTAACAATATCACATTATACAAATGAATGAATTAGATTTTGATTTTAATAAGATTTTTTACATTTATTATACAACTATATATTCTCGTATTATTTAAAAGTATTTTTATTTGAAAAGAAATAATAACATATTTGGGATGAGTATAAAATCTCCGCCCTAAATAGGATTGTCTCCGATACAAAATTTATCAAAAGTATAAGAGTAAATAAAAAAAAAACAAAGAAATGCAATGATGTTAATAAAAAAAGTAAAACTTAATATAATTTTCTCAATCAGTATTTTGATGTAACTTGATATTCTACTAAGTAGCAGCTCTTCACATATCTATACTAGCCCTCTATGCATTAGCATCTTCTTGTTCTTACTCTTGGGTTTGATCAATAGGTTAAAAATTATCTTCTTCATCTGATATCAGAGCTATGCATATATGATTATAAGACCCATAATTTTTATTATTTATTAAAATAATTTGGAATTTGCATATACAACCTAAAGTTCACGATAAAATTTCGTTTGAAATTTTTTGCTGTTGATCTAGAAAACCTTGGAGATTTTTTTCTTTGTGATGAGAGCTTTCTAACCATATATCATATGCATGTTTTCATTGAGTATTCCAAGAAAATTTTGAATCCAAATTTCTGAGTTTAATTACATGAATATTTAGAAAATTTCTCAAATTATTTCCTATAACGAAGGTATTTCGTTCATAAATGTATTGTTATAAATCATAGAGTTCATATTATGAAAGTTTTAATCTTTCTTTAAATCGATCTCGTTTCATTGATGTAAAACAAAATTGGTTTGTGGGTTTTTGTTCCCCTATTATTTTTCCACTATTTTATGTTATTTTTAAGGATTTTATAAGAGTTATGTTGTAGGAAAAATGATTGTGTAATGTTATAGAGATTCGTTTTGCGTGTCGTAGTTTTTTTCTTCAAAAAGTGTGGGCCCACAAAATGTTGTGTGTGTAGAAATCTTTGTTGTGTTATGTTAAATGACAAATGCAAACCCCTATTTTTAATACAAAAATCGCACTTTTTTGTGCCAAGAAAAATCGCACTATTTGAAAAATTATTTTTTAAACTTTCAAAAGCTCTCAAAAATCTGCTATTTTTTAGATGGATTAGATTATAATCTTGTTGGATTGTTGTTTCTGGGTTATTTTGTGATGAAAATCGCTAAAAAATATGTTATTTTTGAGTTTTGACGAAGCTCTTATGGAGGAACCTGGTTTTGAGCGAGTCAACCCGCCAAATGAAGAAGAAGCATGACAATAGAGAAATCTCAAGAAATCCTAAAGATTAAGATAAGATTGTGAAAGAGACATTCCATTTATACTTCTAACTAAAAAGTCACACGAAATTCATATCAATAGAAAATTCACTAAAATCGTTTAATTTATGAATACCACAAGATTGTTTTTCTTTTGTTTAAAATCTTGATTAAATACCATCGGATTTGGACGGACTCTAAAATAATCTTTTAAAATCATAACCGATTATCACGTGACTTTTTTTCAATCATTTAAAATTCTAATTGAATACAAATGGATTTTTTCATCCAAAAATAATCCACTAAAATTCTTTAAAATCTCAATGCAATATACCCCTTTTTTTCAATCTTTTAAAGGGGTGTTTGGTAGGAGGAATTTTTTTAAATTCTCGAGAAAGTGATAGTGGTAATCCTACTTATTCACGTTTGGTACAAGATTTCTGAAATTTTTTCCATGAATATGATTTTCTCAGTATTTTGTTTTGTGTACAATTTTATTTCAAAATGTCATCCAAGAATACTACTACAAAAGGAGTGGTATTCTTGGAATCCAAGGTGTTAGAAAATTTTTACACTTTTTTTGAAACAAAATTTCGGTAATATTTTGACCTACGAAATAAGTTTTTGATAATATTTCTGAAAAATTAACTTTCTCATCATATTCTTAAAAATCATAATTCACGCACATACAAAAATGTATCATGTACCAAACGCACTTAAAAATACTACCCCACCGTTGCAGCAATGTATTCTTCACCCTCGTATTCTATTGTTTATATCAGGTAATATCTCCGAAGATACTACTACACGGCTTTTTGACCCTTGTAACCTTTTATTATTAATTAATTACCAATTTGACCTTGATTATAAACTATTTCAAAAATTTAACCCCCTCAAAAAACATAACACCAATCTGCCTCTGTTTGACCGTTGACCACCAAGCCTACCCGGGTACTCCCCTCTCTACCGGGTATTTTTTGAAAAATTTTGTCCCGGGTAGGGAGGAGTGTACCCGGATATTGTTCTTCACACCTGAAAAATTGCTTGAATTATTTACCCGGGTAGACAGGGGTGTACCCGGGTAAATCTTCGACCACCCATTTGGCCAATAGTTTCCTGCTATTAAGCTCCTAAACTTATCTCCATCTACGGATGAAATTCCTGAGCTCGATATATATAAATATCTTAGTGACTTTTGTGTATATATCCATGGTTGAAAGTTGGGACCTGTTTTTGTATTTGACAAAAAAAGGCTATGGAGCTGAAAAGGAGGAATCCATTCAGGATTGAAATGGAATGCAGTCGTGGAATTGCTCGAGTCCAGATATTCTAAATTTGAGAGTTTGGAAAAAGATGTTTCAGATATTGCACCAGAGAAGGAATTAGAGCCAATTCTTAAGGAAACTAAGGATGAGAGATTTCCAAGCGTTGAGGGAAGGGAACCAGAAAACAAGTTGTTGGATAGATCAAGGTGCTGCAGATGTTCTAATTGGCCAAACCAATTTGGAATTGATCCTGTGAGGTCGTTCAAAGATAGATCAAGGTTTTTTAAATTTCTTAGGCTTAATGAGCTGGAAGGTATTTCACCATGTAAATTACTGTCCTGAAGTTCAAGATGAGAGATGCCACTACTGAGATTAAACAACCAGTATGGTAATTCAGAGTTGAAATTGTTGTCAGAAAGATCAAGAGTTACAAGTGAAGTAAAATTCACATACTCAAGAGATGGGCTGATGTTGTTAAGTTTACAATCACTCAATCGTAACTCTAACAGTGAAGGAAGCATAGTCACCAAGGAAGAAAGTGGAGAAAGCCAACGAAGATTTACCCGGGTACACCCATCTCTACCCGGGTAAATAATTCAAGCAATTTCTCAGGTGCGAAGAACAATACCCGGGTACACTCCTCCATACTCGGGTACACAAAATTTTTCAAAAAATACCCGGGTAGAGAGGGGTGTACCCGGGTAGGCTTGGTGGTCAACGGTCAAACAGGGGCAGATTGGTGTTATGTTTTTTGAGAGGGTTAAATTTTTGAAATAATTTATAATCAAGGTCAAATCAGTAATTAATTAATAATAAAGGGTTATAAGGGTCAAAAAGCCACTACTACACAATTATCCGATTATAGTAACATATCATTCTCGGCTTTTTGACCCTTTTATCCCTTATTAATTAAAAAATAATCATTTTGTCCCTATTTCAAAACTATACACCTATTTGTCCCTCTTTAATCGATTACAAAAGAAATCTAATCGATTAAGTGTCGAAAAATATTGTAATCGATTACTGAGTTTGTTTTAATCGATTAACAATTTCAGGGAATTCCCAAACGAAAACACAGGAACGCACCAAAGCCAAATCATTCTTTTAGCTGTTGAAGCGGTGCTCGAAATCAAGTCGCTATCAGAGGCGATGGAGCAAATTTAGTATGGAGGGTCAGCAAGGGCAACCTTTGAAAGAAAAGAAAGAGAACAAAAAAGAAACCAGAAATGAAAGGATTTAGAAATATATATTTTTTTTTTCTGAATCAGAACTTTGCAACTGTATCTCTTCTCTCAGGCTTTTTATTGTGTGCATATTCTCATTTAAATCATATAATAGACAAGCAATACATGTTAGCGATAATGGTTATGAAATTTCCAATTGGTTTTTTTTGTTCTGATTTTCATTAAGTTACATAACTTGATTTCTGCATCCAAAGGAGATTATGGGAATCTCAAAAGGTTGCTGAAGGCGCTCTATCATCCAAGGAATTACTATTTGATTCATATAGATTATGGGCTCTAGAGGCAGAACAAAAGGATGTGTTTGAATATGTGGCTAGTGACCCTGTTTATGCTCAAGTTGGGAATGTTTGGGTTGTGGGGAAGCGTAATTTGGTCACTTATAGAGGACCAACCATGCTTGCTACCACTCTTCATGCTATGGCAATTCTTCTGAGGACCTGCCACTGGGATTGGTTTATTGATCTTAGTGCATCTGATTATCCCTTAGTTACACAATATGGTATGGTGAGCGGCCTTAAATGCTAGATATCAATTGAATAATCACTATGCATTTTTTATTTGAAGAAAGCATTGTTTACTTGTATTGCAGTTACTCTTTCTTTTATTGGGTTTAGTCTTTCTTTTATTGGGTTCGTGAAATAATCTTACCAGTGGCGATTACATATGTTATGAAAAATTGTCTCTGTAACTTAATGAAAATCAGAACAAAAAAACCAATTGAAAATTTCATAACCATTATCGCTGACATGTATTGCTTGTCTATTATATGATTTAAATGAGAATATGCACACAAAATTAAGCCTGCGGGAAGAGATATAGTTGCAAAGTTCTGATTCAAAAAACAAAAAAATATTTCTAAATCCTTTCATTTCTGGTTTCTTTTTTGTTCTCTTTCTTTTCTTACAAAGGTTGCCCTTGCTGACCCTCCATACTAAATTTGCTCCATCGCCTCTGATAGCGACTTGATTTCGAGCACCGCTACAACAGCTAAAAGAATGAGTTGGCTTTGGTGCGTTCCTGTGTTTTCGTTTGGGAATTCTCTCAAATTGTTAATCGATTAAAACAAATTCAGTAATCGATTACAATATTTTTCGACACTTAATCGATTAGATTTCTTTTGTAATCGATTAAAGAGGGACAAATAGGTGTATAGTTTTGAAAAAGGGACAAAATGATTATTTTTTAATTAATAAAAGATAAAAGGGTCAAAAAGCCTATCATTCTCCTTGATTCTATATTTTCAAATCCATGGTCTGGATAAGAGCAAGTGTAAGGTTTCAGCCCAAGTTATTAGTTGGGCTTTAACAAGCACGAACCACATTATTTAGCCCAAAACATAAACCATGAGTTCCAAACATTGAATAAGGTTAAATTCCCTCCCACACGCTCCTCCTTCCTGATCCTATTACAATCGAATCGACACAACACAGCACAACACAAAACAACAGTTTCTTTTCTTTGCTGTTTTCCAATTCAAAGGAAGCAATTATCACGTGCCTGGCATGCTCGTAATCCCTACCATGTGTCTCTCTCTCTCTGAAACTCCATATATAAAGTTATAAACCACAAGAACCACCCTTTCTCTTTTTCCTTTATTATTTCGTTTGGTTTGGCCTCCGTATATTGTTCCTCTTTCTCTGATCGACGGAAAACTAAAACCAAAACCTCAAAGATGGGTAAGAAGAGAAAGTCTATAGCTTCAAGCCTCGATGAGGTCGATCGAACCATGTATACCTCCTTTTGCAGTGCAGCCAATTCCCTCTCACAACTCTACACTCACGCCATGAACCATCAGAAACTCTCCTTCCAAGCCGGTGAACGCCACGGCCTCGTAAATTCACTTCTCTCTCTTTTCTGCTTCAAACCCAACAATTGATTTTAACAAACGTGTTTTGATTCGTGATTCCATGCGTTTAGCCGATTAAAGTTGCTCTCTTTTTATCCCTTCTTCCTGTTTCTGTTTGTTAATTGTGTTCCCCCCCCCCCTCCCTCTGTTTTGGTCTATCCAATTAATAATCTCTTCACTCTGTGAAAAAAGAAGAAGAAGATGTTGAATTTGGCTTGTACTTGTCAAGTTGAATAATTTTGAATTTAAGGTTTTGGGTCTTATACATGTCCTCAATTCCCTCTTGCACTTGTGCTTCATGAGTATTACTGGTGATGATTTTGGAAAATAAACTTATTATGAAAGCTAAATTTTTTTTCCTGTTGTTGGGTGGAATTAAGCTCAGACAGCGTAATAAGTAATATTGGAACCTAACTTACAGTGATACTTTGAGAGTTCTAATAGGTCTTGGACTGTCATAATAAATTTGTGGGTCTAATCTGGGCTTTGCCCTTATCTTGACATTAATGTGGGATGTTCTTCTGATTTTAGGAAAAACTTTATCAGTGGATCCGGAGACAACAAGAAGGTGGATCAAGAGTCGCAACAGTTGATATTCTTAACTACATTCAGGTTGGTTTGAATGTTCTCTGTTTTGCATATATTATTGTATCATTTATAATTTTATTTATGCTTCTGCTGATTGTAGCAGCACTGAGGTTACTCCTTGTGACTCATGGGTCGAATCTGAGGAACAATCTCTCTACAAAAAAATGTAAGATTAAGGCTTTGTACAATGGACTCTTGTCCCTATCCTCACAAGTTGAGGAGCCTTGTGCACCGGGATTTGCATTTTTCGCCCTTCTACTGATTGGGAGTGGCCGAAAAGGAACTCTGTGTGTGGCAAACTCACGTTGGGGGGCGGGGGGGAATTAGAGTATAGCAGTGAAAGAACCAATTCAACCCAAAAGCTTAAGCTATTAAGTGAAGGCCTCTTTAATGGTTTTATATATCTCTAACACGTCCCTTCACACGAAAGCCCATTGGGCTTAAAGGGTGAATAATGCATCAGGCCTAGTCTACCTGTACTAATAAATTCCACAAGAGAAAGTGGGAGGCGGTGATGATCGAACCCGGGACATGAGGCTCTGATACCATGTAAAGAACCAATTCAACACAAAAGCTTAAGCTGTTAAGTGAAGTCCTCTTTAATGGTTTTATATATCTCTAACATGTATCATACATCAAATGCCAGCTGATAGTAATAGTGAGTTGTTGACCTTTTTTTTTTAGATACATTAAGGAATTGAATACACAACCTATTACATAACTACCCACACCCGTCACCAAGCTAACCCTAGTGGCTTAGTGAGTTGTTAACTTGATCATGGGCTCGTTTTCTCTTAAGATTGTCAATTTTTGAAGAGGGTTGTAAGCCAAACCTTATACAATGGTTTATGCTTTATAGTTTTGCCCAACTCCCACCTGTGGTCGGGGGTGAGTTTTTTTTACTGCTGATGGAAAAAAATTAGAAGAAAATAATCTGTGTGAAATATTATACTAGTCTCTTGTGGTCTTCGGTGAAATTTTGACAGTTTTAAGTAAAAGCATTCACTGGTATTGATGGTTGCTTGATTAATAAGTTGTGTTTTGTTTCCATAGGCAGAATCAAAGACAGAACCTTTTGGCATCCTTTGTCTTCGGCCTGCATGCCTTTTCCTTTTATCATTTTGCTTTTGTTTTCCATCCTGTTAGTGTTGGAGTTTTCCCTTCTTATTTCTTTCTCTTCCTGGTCTATCTGGCATGTCTAAATAGAGTTCTTATTTTTAATTTAAACAATGATTTTGTAACTGAACTGACATTGAGGAAGTGGGTGTTTGTATATATGTAAGATATAACAGAGAATTTGGGAAACTTCCTTAACTCTCTGCAGTGTAGAATGTTGAATCCATGAGACCTGTTATCCTGTATAATATATATTGATTAAAGCATTATCCAACTTTAACATCAACACAACATCAACATCACCTTTATCTCAAACTAGTTGGGGTCTATGGTGTTTAAAGCATTATATATTTCTTTAATCTACTACATGACAAAGTCATATTTGTGCCATGTTTAAAATTGTAGTTGGTAATTTTGTCATATTTTCCCAATAAAAAATAACTTTAATCTATGAGAGGTCTGGAAAATTGGGTAAAACTTTAAGTGGGAGAAAGCCATCTTGATTTGTTTGATGGATATTGCTTTTCTGTGGTCCTGTCTTTGTTTCATTTTTCATTTTCTAGAATCATAGAAGAGGTGGCATCTATTAGGATAATTGCTATTTTAATTTTTTTTTTTGAAAACGAGTATTTAAATTTTATATTCCACTTGTGGGCTTCAAGAAGTTACAAAATTACCTTGGGGACAGCTGATTGCGAAAGTGAGGTAAAAAAGATAATACCAGTACTTTTTTAGGCCATGTTAATGATTTGTAGGTTAAACAAGTTCCTACAAATTAAAATGTGAACATAGTTTCGTAAGAGGGTGGCTGAGTAGGATTGAATAGCTAATAATAAGACGGTCTTTTTTGTGCCATTTTAAAGATTTGTAGGATTGACAATTTCCCAGAAATAGAAATAGGGATTTTGGTCATGTAACTTGTGTGTGCTTCTGGCTATTTAGATATATTGAAGTTTTAAAAAAAAGTTGGTGATAACACAGTCATTGTTGGGCTGCATTAGGATGCCTTTGTACTTCATTGTATCTTTGTTTATCCGTTTATGTTATTATTGGATGCAAAGTGCATTCATGAAAGTTGATTTCTCTGCTTGCAGAATGAGCTGGATTATTATGGAGAGGAGCCATCCATGTCGCCAAGAGCACCACAGCAACATCATCAGTCACAACCAGTAATGCATGTCACTAGTTCAGGCTTTCCTGTAACTTCAGGATCTTCTGGCCAAACAGTTCTGGGGCAGGGACTCCGTTCTGAGCACTGTGATAATCATTCAAAGAATTCTGTGTTTTCAAATGCTTTGTCAAGCCCTGTTCGTCAAAGTCTTCAGCATTATCAAATTGGTGAGGGAGGAAACTATCCAAGTGGTCTCTCCGTGGGCAATGGAAACCGGAACACTGAACCCAGCTTTCTTCACCAGCAAGGCAGGGACAGTACTGCATTCAGTTCCAATGATTCTGCCATGGACATGCATGCAGATTAGTCCTGTCTATTGGTTGATCTACTGGATATTTTTGTTTGACCATCCTTCTCCATTACCTGCAAAAGAAGTGAATAACCACTTGAAGTGCATATCTGGTTTTGCTCGTTGCATCCTACAAGAAATTGCAGCAGGAGGGAACCAGTTTGATTAACCTATTATTATGTTTATGGCATCTTAAATTATCTTTGTAAAGCTTTTTGTAGCTTTTAAATTTGTACCTTGCTTGTCTCCCCCCACCCTTCTTTCTCGAGAACAACTTTTTCAATATAGGGATTGCTTCTATCTGAAGTTTCCTATGTAAAATATGTCCTTTTTGCAGATTCTCTATGTGACAATTTACATCTTCAGGCATCTTTTGTTGATCCCTTCTTTGCTTTTCATTTCTATTTTGTTATTTCTTAGTGTGTCTCCACTGTTCTTTTCTTTGTAGTGGTGTCAAGAGAGGGAATAAAGACACCCATTAGGCTGCAATACATATTTTTTAACAAAGTTCCTAGAGGATGATGCATTACAGTATATGCTTGCCCACCCGGTCAAAGCTTGATATTTCCTAAACATTGCAAGGAAACAAACTTTTTTAAAAGAGAGAGAGAGAGAAAGAAAATGGTCTACACTTAAAACCATATGTTAAAGCATGGGATTGCAAAAGAAGGGAAGAAAGGGTTTTCTAATTGATGGCTTGGAAGTGATGATATGGAATTGCATGTGCTGTTGTGCTTATGTGATGGTAGAGAACGTATGTCAGCATCAGCATACTTGAAGTTAAAGTTTAAAGATTGTGTCCATTTGTAGAATTGCTCCATTAAGGACTCTCCTAGCTAGGGGCAATTTTTGTTATATCTACCGCTGCTTTTCCTAAATTCCTTGTTAGTGCATTATTCGGGGACAAAGATCTTTTTACCATGTTATCGGCAAAAATTTATCCAAATGCCACGTTATAGAATTTTTTTTTTTCAAAATGTCGTGTCAGCTAACTCCTACAACACCTAGCAAGTTAAGTGTGGACACGTGGCAGCGAATTTGAGGCCACCTAAATCGCTGGACAATCCATTGTTTTCCCCAGTCAACGTGTCAGACAACCCAGTCTAAAACTGCAGTCTGCTTGGCATAAAACGCCGGGCAGCAAGGAGCGTTACGTGGCACACTCTCACACGTGGCTAAAGTTGCCACACTGCACAACGTCTTACGTGGCAACCGCCCAACCACGTAATACATATGTGACACGTGTCTACACCTCGAGCAAGGACATTGCACAGTGCAGTGCTAATGTGGCTCACCACTATAAAATGGTCCCCCTCTCCCCTTTTTCCCACCAATCCCCCACTCTCACACTTGTCTTGTAACACCTCGAAAACATATTATGATACAAGTGAACCTTAAATAAAACAATACCAGAAGACTTAACATGTGCCATCGTAGCTTTCTCAAAACTACATGACTAACTTTCTCTATACATTCTTTTATGTACACAATCTGTTTTCATTAAATACAAAACTGTGCAATCCATAATTGCACAAAATCCAACTCAACAAAATGGACAACATAACTTATGTATATTGGACTAACTAGAAATCTCAAAACCTGTAATCCAGAAAATATCCAGTATACAATAACCAAAAGGCAAAGCTAAAGAATCCATCCATAGATTCCTACTTCACTTTCAGTAACTCATAGTATACAAACATATATTTTCTTGTACAACAGATCGAAATATATAACTGCATATCTCACATACATTAAGTCTTAGGGCCTATAGGTCACCCCCCATCTTTTCTACCCGCACTCTCGTACTCTCTCTTTAAAAGGTTAGTTTCACTCTTTTTAATTTAAATATTATTATTTTATGTTAGATATTTTGAATTTACATTAATGAATAAAATTTAGATATTGGTTTGAATATTTTTGTTTTATATAATTTGTTTTAGGACTTAAAATTAGGGGTGTTCGCGGTCTGGATTGGATCGGTTTTGGAAGCAAACCTCATCTGATCCAATCCCTTCGGTTTGATCATGTAATCATCCATTTGGTTTAGATTTTTTTTTTAAATCCGATCCGATCCAATCCAATTTTTTCGGTTTGGATTGGATCGGTTTTCTGTTTTTCGAATATCCTAAAATTAGTTTCATGATTATTGTGCAAATAACATCTTTTGTATATATTGGCTTTGTAAAAAAAAATTTGAAATACAAAAATATCAGTAAACAATACTATAGTTGATTAGTTGATGAGTCGTGACTAAGTTTTTTCTTGGGTTTAGTTGATGAGTTAATGGGTCTTGAGTTTAGAAGTTTTCGGGCTATGATTGGAGAAAGGACAAGTAGGTAGAGGATAATTAATATATTGGATCGGTTTTCGTCAACTCATCCGAAAACTGATCCAATCCAATTAAAATTTGCGGTTTTTTTTCGGTTTTCGATTTTTCGGTTTTCGGTTTATTCGGTTATCGGTTTTTCGGTTCGATTTTCGCGGTTTTCGCGGTTTGGATCGGTTGATGAACACCCCTACTTAAAATCATAGGTTAGATGATATTTTATTTATTTGTTAATTTTTAGTAGTGTAGGGATTAAAACCTAGGATAGATGATATATTTTATATTTGTTGAATGAGTTAGCATAGGTAAATTATAGGATAATTCATATTTTTATGTTATATTATTAATTTTATGCTTTTAATTAACATTATAAAAAAGATTTTAACATTGGTTTGAATATATTTTTTTAAATAATTTATGTTTATTAATTTATTTCAGGACTGTAAACCCTAGGATAGATGAAATATTTTTGATAAATTAATTAGTATAGATGATATAGTTTATGCTTGTTGAATGAGTTAGTACAGCTAAATGATAGGATGATTGATATTTTGAATTTTATATTTTGAATTAAAATTATAAAAAGCATTTTAACATTGGTTTAAATATTTTTGTTTTAAATAATTTATGTTAATTTAATTTATTTTAGGACTGTAAATCCTAGGATAGATGACATGTTTATTTTAAATTAATTAGAGCTGGTGGATTATATTTATTTGAAGACTTGAAACCCTGGACAATTTACATAGTTATGTTTTTCACTATATTAATATTTAAGAATAACATGATTAATTTATTTCTATTATTTTTTTTTAAAAAGATTCATGGATTCTCAGCATGATAGCCTGATTCAGCGCTTGGTTCACTGACTCATGAGAAGCATGATCTTGTACCTTTTGGCTCGTTAGGATCTCCTCGTAGCGTTATTACAACGAGATCCATTGACCCCTCTATCCTGACATTATAGGAGAAACACATTTCCACATACGTGTGGAATGGCAAGGGCGATCGGCGACTTAATATCAGACACGCTGCCACACATGACTCATTTCATATACCTAAAGAGATCAGGTCGTACTTGAGACAACCTGGTTTCTTTCACGTTGTGCGGTTGCACAACCATGATGTAAGTATTCATTTTTTGATTTTTTTTTTTTGGTTTAGGGGGATTAGTTGTAATAATTAGAAAACATATCCCTTTTTTATTGTTTCAGATTGCCCATGCTCTTATTTCTGCACTTGTCAAGCGTTGGCGGCCTGAGACGCAGACTTTTCATATAGCACATGGTGATATGACGATCACCTTGGAGGATGTACACCATATGTTGGGTTTACCCATAGATGGTGAAGTTATCTCCGGTCATGCTGGACATCATGATATGCGACAGGTAGTATTGGAATTATTAGGACTTGTTCCAGCTACAGATCGAGAACTTACGGGTGGTCAGGTAAGCCTTCGGTGGTTGCGTCGGGCATACGGTCAATATGTTCCGATGAGTACGTTGGTTGTACGTTTCTTGCACTTCAAATCTTGTCTTCTGAGGATCATAAAATGTCACAAAATGTGTGGTGACTTTTTGCTGATTTGCCACATATGTTTGTCAGAGTACTTTCATGTATCGAACCCCCCGGGACATCTCCTCACGGGCCTCTTGGCCATGATTCAAAAAGCATTGCACCAAACCCGCGTATGTGTACCGTACCAAAGACGTGATTGGAAGGTTTCTTGTGCCCTTAAGGACCTTATTAACACACTCTGACAAATTCGTGGTCATGTGATCAAACCTTCTTCCCTCTGCATCGTATGTGATACTCCATTTTTCTTTCGAAATGCAATTTCTGCATGCGGCTATTTACCGACTTCTTTTAATTTTTCTAATCTGGCATCAAAATCCAACCGAGAAGTTGTATAACCTGCATAGAATAACAAACACAGGAACTTACAACATATTTAACATTAACATATGAAACAATACATGAAACAGTATTAAGACATACCTAACATTTTCAGTTGCTTCTTCAACATAACATTCTTGAACTTGTGGTTGAAATTACTACCAAGATGCCGAATACAATAGACATGGTATGCTTTGGGAGATTGCTAGCCCAGTGCCGCATTGTTGACTGCAGATAGTATGGCAGTATGTCGATAAGAAATAAGACAGATGCCTTATTTTTGTGTCACATGCATCCGTATCAATGCTAAAAATCACGACCAATCATCAAGATTCTCCACTTTTACAACTGCAAAAGCAATAGACAACACATAGTTGTTTCCATCCACAGTTGTTGCAATTAATAGGGTCCCCCAATATTTTCCATAAAAGTGCGTACCATCCATCTGGATAACAGGCTTGCAATAATTGAAGGCATCGACGCACTGTTTGAATGTCCAGAACACATTGTCGAACACCTTCCGATATCGATCCAGCCGGTTGTCAACAAAATGATCATTCAGATCCAGCTTATAGACAGCCCCTGCTAAAAATTACAATATGTAATTCAACCATCTTGACAGAAAACGTAAAATCCATCCCAATCCCCATAAATTTTGACAATTGCTTTTTGTTTTGCCATCCATGCCTTCCTGTATGATATATAAAACCTATGATTTGTTGCTATCATTTTTTGAATTAGAGCAATTTTAACATTGGGCTCCTTCATATCATCTCTGCATGTGGTCAAACAATTATTTATTACTTTCCAAAAATATTAAAAGAAAAAATAGAACGTTGACATACCTAGGATCATTGAACAAATGAAATTAGAGTCAAACTGCTTGTGATCTTGAGAAAGAGCATGGCTAACACAGTTATGTTCGTTAAACCATTTGCTGATAACCCATTTAGTGCCGCCATTTTTTACTTGTGCCCTCACCCTCCACGGACAACCGTCGTTGTGATTTTCACATACCATGATTTATATTTTGGTATCATTTTTAGCTACAACGGCTGTGTGATACTCCGTCATACAAAATTATTTTATAGCCATTTGTACATCGTGCTTGTTGTCAAACACCTGGTCCTTGTACAA